AGGTTAAAATAATACGACCGGTCGCGATGCAAAGTACATATCAGCAAACAAGCCATGCTTTTAGTTTGCTGTAAATCTACTTGTTTCGTTTTGTCTCTGATAAAGTTTTTGAACAGATTAAGTTGCTTTAATTAAAGCTAGCAGCTCTGCAACCGGTATTACAAGTTTTAACGCTTCTTATAGTTCAGTTCTTCTTGTATCGATACTTATTTGTTGTTTGTGCTGTCCCTTTATTCTAGGATGAGGTATACCTTCTTATGCGACAGAAAACTTTTGTACGGACTTTTGCATGACCAAGATAGCTTACATTAAAAACTTTATATTTCAGCAGCTATTTTCTCAAAATTTCTAGTGAGATAATTGAACGGTTCTTTTAAACAGCTTTTCTGTATAAGAAAAGAAGAATTTTTTTGCTTGTAATAAAATTTGAACTCGCTATAAAGGACAGTTGGCGGTCGATTACCTTCGCCAGGGTCTTCTGTGATTATCAGTTAGTGTTCGTTTTGTTTTTTTTTTTGGTGATGAATTATTGACAATTTGACTGTTTTTTCCTACGCTACTGTAGATCACTCAATATTTCATGATTTTTGCAACGTTAACGTAAGCATTGTTGGTGCTGCGGCAAGGTCAGACCCAATAACGTTGGGTAATGTATACGTGGCCGAGAGAATAAAGAAAAAAACTGGAGTATGGCTAACGAAAGCAGATGGTCTCTGTTTGATATGCAGACAATGTAAACTTGTTGTCTTGCAAAATAACGGGTACTTTGCTTACCCTGATAAACAGTAGTGGTGAAATTACTAGAACAGAATCTAAAAAGGGAAGCTAACAGATCTATAAACGTATTACCACCAACGGTGTAGTCATTTTTGCGATTTAAACTTCATCTGAGTTTTGATAGGAGAAGAATACGCAAGGTGTGAGAAGTTATTGATTCGACAATTAACAATCAAAATTCGACAATCAAATTAATAATTTGGCTTCATTTTGTGTGCTTTGCTCGATTACTAGAGAACTATTCGATATTAGCATTTATAGGTATGCCAAATTTTTATGGTTACAAAATGTTTGTGGAAAGCAGTTTTCCTTCATCCCAAATGCGTGGAAGATAATTGGCCTGATTTCGAATTCTACGTTTGTATATTGAACGTATTAAAGATATAGTTTTGAAAGGGGCATTGTTTTTTACTGAATTATCTTTCTAGAATGGGTTCAGCGCAAGTAGGCGTATTTGACTGCTAATGAGGTACGAGGAGGTACAAGGAATCTTTTAAGTTTTTTGACAATTTGCTATATTCTTCAAAGGTTGCAATATTGAAGGCGATAGCAACTTCTTTTCATAAACTGAAGTAAAAGGAAGGCAGACGAGGGATAGGAAAACTTACTGAGAGGCTGTACTAGTATCGGTAATTTTGTTATACACTGATTCAAATAGGAACTGGACAGTCTTTACGCTGTTTCAGCAGTATGCATGCATGAAGTTTAACGGTTTTATCAGAAATTAGGATATTTATTTCCGTTTATTTTGCTAGTACTTTCTGCTGAAACAATACTTTGCGCATATCAGTTGTTATAACACCGACTGTTCTTAAGCCAACCTGCTGAAGATCAGTAAATTGTCTGACATTGTCTGAATAAGAGAATTCAGCAGCTTTTTTTAAGATTTTTAGCTGGAAAACTGTCAGTCTATTTTGAGCAGTTTATTAAAACTAGTTTATGCTAGGTCGAATTTTTGAGCTCTTTTTTTGCGGTTTCTTTATCCATTCTCTTTCAGTCTGTGTTGGTGATTTGTTGCGGACACGTATATGGTATGAAGGTACGAGATTAAGAAACAACTAATAAAAACTTATAATGAAAGGTAAAACGAAAACCGAAAACGGTCAATTTGCTGCTGGTTCAAACGGATACAGCTGAAATGTGGTATTAGAGGAGATTAAAAGGGAAGAAATTTAGATGTAAGAAGCTAAGTATTAGCTCAAATTCCGTTTGTTTTAACAATAGTTTGTAATCGAGTTTAAAAAATTTTTGTAAAAAGCAAGGTATGTCTCGATACCCATGTCAATGTCTACTGCAGGTATTGTTTTTTTTCGGTTTATTGTTCCTCTTTATGTCAGTGAGCCAGTATGGTATCTGAGGAGTGCCACTGGACTAATTTTGTGCTGCAATTTTTGATTCTTCTTTCCTTTTTTTCCAAAAGTTTTCTAGAAGAATTGGCTCTTTACTTATTCACTGTTTTTGCAACGTTTTCTGCAACATTAGTAAAAATTAAACTGATGTCTCAGAAGGACTGCAAGGGTGATCTGAAAATTGTGGCTTACGTAATGCAATAGTTTCTCTAACTTTCTGGTTTGGATTAAACTTTTTAAAAGTGAGACCTGTAATTTTGAAGAAGACTGTATAAAAATGGGCAAAGTTTTTAGTCAGAGTCATGCTGGTTTCCTTTGACTTCCTTTTAATGCTAACAAACAGCCTGTATTTTTTTCGGAAAATCTCAGCATTTTTCAGCTTTGATTTCTTGCCTGTACAGATGACTGCTCTTTCGTTGTTTTTATTTCTGAGACTTTTATTCCTCTCTGCTTGCTTCGTAAATCTGATACATAGTATCTTTCTGTTTCTCGATTCAAAATCTCCTGTTAATTCTGAGGTTCTCTACAAATTTTGACAGTAACAGTCTACTGTAGATGCTTCCACTTAATTAGCGCGACTGCGACGACCTTAACTCAACCAAAATAATTGACTAATTCTGACGAAAATAGGAGCATTCTTACGGCATTTGTTTTTTTACGCATTGGCCCTTTTATTTTCAGTAATCGTCTTCGCTAACATCGCATGTGTTGCTTCATCAAATTCATCATTTTTTCCGATTGAATTCAAAATGACTAACTGTTAGAAGAGATTTTTTCTCTGCAGCTTTTTACTTGTTTAAAATTCGGCAAACATAGCAGACGAACTAACTGTTACATTGTGAAACGATTCTGTGTAGACAGCGCAGAAAGGCTTGGCAAAAAGCCTTTTGTTGTCACGTTCCTGTCTACCGTCATTTGAGACAGCGATTTTTTTCTTGATAAAAAGTGTTTTGGTTTTCTACAATATATCGCACTTATATGGTGAATATTTTTACCCACTGTCTTTTATTAAGGACTTCTACTGAACTGGTAGATATTACGAAAAGCCGCTTGATGAGTAATTCAAGCCAAGGAAGCTATGGATTGAAATGAAGTAGTGCTTAAACGAGACTGTCTGTTTGCATGATGTAGCACAAGATTTGAAAAGGTCAGAAATGACTTGAAAATAACTTATTGCCCAGCCGACAAGCAGTGTATTTGTCTCTCAAAGAAACGTCAAAGAAATTTACAGTTTTTATCGATAGGTTACAAA